AAAGCAAGATCAGAGCATTCCAAATTCTTCAAAGCCGCTGCTCATCCCAAAGCTTCCCCCAGCCCTTGGAGGGGACTCAAGGTGCAGTTCTTACCAAGTATCTCCACAGGGGTTTTTTAAAGATTTCTGATCTGTAGCTCACTCTAGTGATGAGCTGTGGAAAAATGAACTAATTGGCCTGAAATAAAAACCAAGACACAAAGAGTGTGCTCTGATCAGTTGTGGCCAGGTTTCATGGCTGTGAAGATGTGTGAGAGCAGCCAAGAGAAAAAGTGGGAGGGAGCAGAGGATATGGGAAAGGGGAAAATGAAAATTTTGGTCACATGGCTTGTAAAGAGAAGTTCTGAGGGAAGCAGCACCGAGAGAGGCACAGGAACCAAAGGGATTGGGAATCAAGAGCGTAGGAGAGCTGGAAAAATCAAAAAGCTGAGTAATAAACAGTAATTTTGTGATATTCCGAGCCTTTAAGGGTGATAACGTTGATTTTATTGCCACTGCTCACCCTGGGTATCCAGGAATCCAACATTGCCATGAATGAAACTGAATCCTAAGAAGAGACTGTGATTATTAAAAGCATAAATTTATTTGTAGAAATTAAAACCTTTGGACTGAAAAGCCAACAACACAAATCTAAATTAATCAACTGCTTCTTCTCCTTCTGCAAATTCTGGCCCAGAAGGAAAAATATGGCTTCATTGTACATGCTTGGTTCTTGGAAGAATCTGCTCTTCAACATATTTAAATCATCAGTCTTAAACCCACTAATGATTGAGATCAACATAAAATCACCAATTATTAAAATCAGCATAATATTTAAATTGTTTCTACCTTGTTGAATATTTTCCTTTAAATTAGGGACATGTCACAAAACATCTTATTTGCTTTTCCTTCCCAGGAAAGAGAGATTGCATTTGAGCCACAGCGATTGAGAAGACAAAAAAGATTCTTTTTTAATAACAATAGTAAGAAGGACAATAAACATGTGAGCAATATGTGAGTAGTCTGAAAGCTATAATTTAGCAGAAAAAAAAACCTTGGCATTTAAGAGGGGAAAGAAAGCCCAGGTGCAGTGGGAATGTGCCTCACACTGCTTGGTTTACATGGATTACAACTTCTATAAAAAAACTAAAACTCTGGAGGATTTTTTGATGTAACAAAAGCTTTGATGACATTTAAAAAACCAGGCTATTTACCTCAAAATATTTGTATTATATCACATTTAGTTATTACGTACATTTGTGTTTGAAAATATCCTCTGAGTCCTCCGGGGAAATAAATGGAGTTTCTCCAAGACAAAGCTGGTTTTAATAAATGAAATCCTGCTGTGCAAGGAGCAGGACCACAAATATCTATAATTAGCCCATTCACTGAAATAATTAAACACTTGTATTTTCAGCTCTCAGAGTTTAAAGTGCCTCCCTATTTTATTACAGATACACCTCAGAGATGGAGCTGCTGGGAAAACAGCTCTGCCTTGTGACAAAAGTAAATGTTGTAAGAGAGTTTATTTCTCCCCAAAGTGGTAAAATAATAAAATTTTTCTTTTTTTTTTTTTTTTTAATAAGGGCTTGATGGGCTGAGAGAAATGCTGCTCTAAAATAAATACATTTCTAGGATGTACATGTACAGATAAATATATCCTCGGTTTGAAGTTGTTACCTGCCTATCCTGGGTGCAAATAAAGCCATCACTTAGGCACTCAGGAAAAATTGGAAATGTTGGAAAATTCCACGTAAATCCCACTCTCTGGGAACACAGGATGGAGTCTGAAATGCAGTTTGAAATACTTTGCTCTGAGATTAATGAATGAGGTGGCCTTTCCACAAGCTCAGGGAGATGCAATTACCATTTAGAAGTTGTTTTACTTCTCTTCTTCCATCAGCTACAGCCGTAATGAGGAGACATTAAAAATGCACTAAAATCAGGCTGGAGCAGTTGTTCTGCCCAAGTTTGGCTGTTTCAGAAGCACCTTTTGTGCTCCTCTTGGTGTAAAACAAGTCTCTCCCATCCCTTGCCTTGTCCAGTGAGGCTCTGAATGAGGATCAGAGTCTCTGGAGAAGGAAAAAATGATTTTTTCACTCTTTTGATACCAGCCCAGAGAGGAGATGAGGGATAGCAAAGAACACGTGAGGAGTATCACTGATGTTATTAACACTGAAATACAGGCAGAGAGCTAATTACCCCCAAAATTCAGGAATAATTGTGGGAATTACCTCGGTACCTTCAGGTTGCCCAACATGGCATTCCCATGAATTTCCTCTTCCTGCCAGTGAATGTGATTTTATTAACACTGAAATGATGCTCATCTGAGGAGGAGGGAGGGATATTTAGGGATGTTCTAACACGGGAGACACTTTTGGTGATATTTGGTGGGATCTGCCTGACTGCAGGTCTGAGTCTGGTCCTTAAAACCACAGGAGTTGCTAAGGAAACCTGAGCTCCCAGAGTTCTGCTAGAACTTTCTTCCAAACCTCCAGCCACAGCTCTCTCCTAACATCCACTAGCACATTTGGGTAGAAAATCCTGCGCTTAGAAGACAGAGCAGAGCCCCAAATCCATTTTATTTAATGTATTTTTTGAACTTCTCGCTGCTTGTTGGCACCGCACCATTAACAGGCTGTCCCCAGGGTGCCTCACAGGTAATTCCTACAGGTCCCACCTTCTGGTTGGGCTGGAAATGTCCTGCAGTGATCACTGCGTGTGAGAAATGGGGAATATGGACTGCAGCAGGCACTGAAATCCAGTTTCACTCTCAGATTGATGCTACCAAAATTCCGCCTCAAAAGTGTGGGAATTAAAATGCACCTAACCAGCTGTAAACCCAGACACTCATAAAAATTACTCTAAAACATCAGGAAAAGTTAGTAGATTGTGTTTTCCTTGCTCAAACTGAGTTTCCTTGATCAAATTCAGTTCTATTCCTGCTGTGGAAATCAAAGAAATCTTCATCTTCCTTGTAAGGGGTGCAGAACCCAATCTCTTCCCCAACTGGCATTGAAGGAGTGACCTCCATTCCTATTCACCAAATGAAATAAAGCTGTTCACTTTAAGAATTTTTCACTTTAAGAATTTAAACAGATCCTTAAAAAAAAAAAAACAAACCCACAAAAGCTGTTTGGAGGCAGTTTGAAAAATGTTGAGCGCAGTGAAGGAAAAATACAGTAAAAAGGAACTCCAAAAACTTCATCTTGGGTTTTTTTGTTGTTTTTTTTTAAAAAAAAAAACTTAAATTTAAAAACATTAAATAATTAAATAGAATTTGATATTAAAGAGTTTTTTTTAAAAAAAAAAAAAGAAACGGGGAAAAACCCCTTAAAATTTAAAAAATTAAATAATTAAATGGTATTGGATATTAAATGGAAGCCCCTAACCAATAAGCAGATCTAATTAGATTAAAACAGGGCATGACTGCTTTTTTTATTAAATAGACCCCGTTTGGGTTTCAGAGCCATTTTTTAATCATTCCCTAGCTGAGAGCTGGCACTGCAGCATTTTAGGCTGGTTCCAGGACTAACTCTGGCAGATTTAGAGCGCAGATATCAATGAGGCCTTAGTCATGGAATTGTTAATGCATTGCTACAGTAGCCCCAGAAACACACAATGATTTTTATTGGAACACACATATTTCTTCCAGACAGTTCATGACATTTTATCAGATTTNAATGATTTTTTCACTCTTTTGATACCAGCCCAGAGAGGAGATGAGGGATAGCAAAGAACACGTGAGGAGTATCACTGATGTTATTAACACTGAAATACGGGCAGAGAGCTAATTACCCCCAAAATTCAGGAATAATTGTGGGAATTACCTCGGTACCTTCAGGTTGCCCAACATGGCATTCCCATGAATTTCCTCTTCCTGCCAGTGAATGTGATTTTATTAACACTGAAATGATGCTCATCTGAGGAGGAGGGAGGGATATTTAGGGATGTTCTAACACGGGAGACACTTTTGGTGATATTTGGTGGGATCTGCCTGACTGCAGGTCTGAGTCTGGTCCTTAAAACCACAGGAGTTGCTAAGGAAACCTGAGCTCCCAGAGTTCTGCTAGAACCTTCTTCCAAACCTCCAGCCACAGCTCTCTCCTAACATCCCTTCCACTGGCACATTTGGGTAGAAACTCCTGCGCTTAGAAGACAGAGCAGAGCCCCAAATCCATTTTATTGAATGTATTTTTTGAACTTCTCGCTGCTTGTTGGCACCGCACCATTAACAGGCTGTCCCCAGGGTGCCTCACAGGTAATTCCTACAGGTCCCACCTTCTGGTTGGGCTGGAAATGTCCTGCAGTGATCACTGCGTGTGAGAAATGGGGAATATGGACTGCAGCAGGCACTGAAATCCAGTTTCACTCTCAGATTGATGCTACCAAAATTCCGCCTCAAAAGTGTGGGAATTAAAATGCACCTAACCAGCTGTAAACCCAGACACTCATAAAAATTACTCTAAAACATCAGGAAAAGTTAGTAGATTGTGTTTTCCTTGCTCAATCTGAGTTTCCTTGATCAAATTCAGTTCTATTCCTGCTGTGGAAATCAAAGAAATCTTCATCTTCCTTGTAAGCGGTGCAGAACCCAATCTCTTCCCCAACTGGCATTGAAGGAGTGACCTCCATTCTTATTCACCAAATGAAATAAAGCTTTTCACTTTAAGAATTTTTCACTTTAAGAATTTAAACAGGTCCTTAAAAAAAAAAAAAAACAAACCCACAAAAGCTGTTTAAAAAAAAAAAAACAAACCCACAAAAGCTGTTTGGAGGCAGTTTGAAAAATGTTGAGCGCAGTGAAGGAAAAATACAGTAAAAAGGAACTCCAAAAACTTCATCTTGGGTTTTTTTGTTGTTTTTTTTTAAAAAAAAAAACTTAAATTTAAAAACATTAAATAATTAAATAGAATTTGATATTAAAGAGTTTTTTTTAAAAAAAAAAAAAGAAACGGGGAAAAACCCCTTAAAATTTAAAAAATTAAATAATTAAACGGTATTGGATATTAAATGGAGGTCCCTAACCAATAAGCAGATCTAATTAGATTAAAACAGGGCATGACTGCTTTTTTTATTAAATAGACCCCGTTTGGGTTTCAGAGCCATTTTTTAATCATTCCCTAGCTGAGAGCTGGCACTGCAGCATTTTAGGCTGGTTCCAGGACTAACTCTGGCAGATTTAGAGCGCAGATATCAATGAGGCCTTAGTCATGGAATTGTTAATGCATTGCTACAGTAGCCCCAGAAACACACAATGATTTTTATTGGAACACACATATTTCTTCCAGACAGTTCATGACATTTTATCAGATTTGTTTCTGTATGGAAAATTTTCATATTATAACCAAGCCATTTTACCGTTGCTGTGGTAACTACAGAACCAGCTTAAAAAGGTAACCACAGCATAAATGCAATTGCTGTGTAAAACCCAGAGCCAAGCTTCCTTTACTAGTTAAACAAAGAAATATAAAGGAATTAAAATTCAACAGCAAAAACCATCGGGCACCAAAATTAAAACTCAGCCTTTCAATTCACTGTCCAGCATCAGCTGCCTTTCTTCTACTTGATTTTTACTGGCATGTTCTTACCATGCTATTTTCATTTCTGAAGTCATCACCTGTTTCTTCGTGCTCAGAGCCCTCATCTCCTGTCAGCCTCAGAATTTCACAGCCACAAACCGAATGGTCAGTGATGCACGAGATGGATGCTTTGGGTACTGCTGTGGTTGAAGGAAACTCTTTCCATTGCAGTGAGATTTTCTGTGGCTCAGCTTCATTAAAAAATGGGGTTTTCTTAATTGAGAGATGAATTTTCGTTTGCAGGGTCAATAGTAAAAACAATTTCTAGGTCTCCTTTGAAGCTCAGTTAGGGTGCTTTGAGATATAGGGGACTTGCAAAGCCTGAATTGTGTAAATTTGAGTGCAGGGTTGTGTCATGCTGTGAAAATGTGGCTAATTCCATTTAAAAAGTTTCTTCTGTCATTTCTAATTCTGTTGCAGAGGCACACATCTCTATTTTCCACAGCCAGGGAGGCTCTAGTCCAGCTTCTCAATAAGCTGAGCTGCTTCCCTGCAGGAATTTATTCCTTCCCCTCAGAAGGATGCTTTTCAGTTTCAAACAAAAACGGGTTTGTCTACTGGATGGATTTGATCGTTAGATAAATGTGTTTTATCACTGGAATGGATTGGGCTGTTTGCATTTTGTCACCACCATCTCAACCTGTCCTGCCAATAACACACATTCCATCAGCGCTCTGGGCCACCACGCTCACAGGGTGTGTTTTGTCAACAGCCTAAATCCATCCTGTCAACAAAATCCATTCAGAAGGAAAATAACTCAATCTCTCCTGTCAACATCAAGAGGAAAATCTTGGTGTTTGGAGCATGAAAAGAAAACCAAACCCCACAGTGAAAGTATTTGCAGGACTAAATAAGAAAATCACAATATATCCATTAGCTTGACATCAGTAAATGATAACAGTGAGAAAATTAAATAACATGTTAATATTTCCTGGTGGGATTGGGATGTGATCCTGGAAATTTCTAGGCTGACACCTGAAGTTTCCACCAGACAGAACCTAATTGAACACCTTGTTCCCAGAGATGCTGGATACTGAGATTTGTATTTCTTAAGAAAACTCAAAGTCTCAGCAGGCAAATTACCAAACTTCCTAGAAGATGAAGACAGAGGAAGCCGATTTCTCTTGCTGACAGAAACATCACAGCAGTAGAAACATAAACAAAATCTATCGGGCCTTCTGGAACTTGAGAACTAAAAGGATTGATCAAGAGTTCCACTCAGTCACGGTTATTCCCTCTCTGCCTTGGCAGCTTCCTGCAGATCCTTTGTAGAAGAACACCTTTCCTTCCCTCTTTTCCCTCTCCATAATAGAAATTCATCTCCAAAATGTGTTAAAACAGCCTCAAACAAGATTGCAGAGAGTAAAGCCTGATCCCTCATTGTCTTTTATTCACCCCAAAGGCCATGTCTCCTGGTCTGTCCCACAGATGAGGCTGTTAACAGAAGTTTTCATTTCAAGACCTAAAACAAGAAAGATTGGCTGTTATCATGTAATAAAAGCCAGGCACGGTTTGAAAAGAGACTCAGTACCTTTGTATGCCCACCCTGAGATGCTGCAAGGTTTTCCTGAAGTATCAGTCACATGCTGCTTTGTAAAAGTGGATTTTTTTTCCCATAATCTCAGGATGGGCATACAAAACCAAGCACATTTAAGAAAGTTAAATTCCCATTTTTTTTCTCTGAAATGTAGTGTAAAACCAGGACACAAAGGAAGGTGAGAGAGGAGAAGGAAGAGAAGCAATAACCAGAAGCAGATAAAAATCAAACAAACCATTTATTTTTCAGTATCTAAACAGAATATGCAAATCCAGAATCCTGGGGCCATTGCAGGGCAAGTTCCATTCTGTCCCAGCCTGTCCCTCTCCTGCTGCAAGAATAAATAAAGAGGTAAAGGCTGATGTGGAAATGCTTTTGACTTGTGCAGTGTCAATTAGGAATTCATCTGGAGCACCAAGATGTCACAGTGATCCCGCCCAGTTAAGGGAAGACTTGATTGTCAATTTTTTCCAATTTCTTTATATTTCTCCACTTCAGATGAAGTTCCTGCTACTCTGAAAGTGCCTTCGCCTCTTATTATATTTCCTTCCTCCACCCAGGCACTGCTAATTATCAGCCTTTTGCACTGCACCAGTTGGGGATGTATTGTGAAGCAAAAGGATTCATTTTAATCACAGAACAACAAAATTATCTCCAGGGGGAATTCAACAATGGGCTTTTTGCACCTACAAAACAGTCTTGAGTGTTTCATGATTTATTGATGCAGTTGCTTTGGCTTTCCAGGCTTTTTCATTTTGTTTAATATGCAAACTATCTCCCAGACTCTTGATTTCTACTCACCTTGATCATTTACAACATCATCTTAGCAGCCTCTTCCCCAGCTCTGTTTCCCAACACTTGGCTAAGGAATATAAACAGCAGCAGGGATTTATTTTTTCTGTTAATAGAGGGCCTGGACCTTGCATTGTGACCCTGGGAAATGGGATGCAATACCCTCATCCATAACCAGACTAAGTTATTCAGGACAGGGATCATCTATTAATTACCTGTGCAGAAATTCCTACCTCTGCAGAAATGTTGTCTTCATCTGATCAAAATAAATGGTTTTTCTGCCTGCCAAATTCTCCTCTGGGTCACACAGGCACTAATGCCTTGGCAGTTTTGCAGAGTGATTTCTACTGTCTCTCGTTAAATTCTTCTCTATGTAGATTCTCTCCTCCTCTGTAACTTGTTAAATGGGATTTTGTTCTTATCAAACAGCTCCAGGAATCCCAGAGCCGGCCTGGCCAGGAATCCAGAGCTTTCCTGGGGGCGGTCATACTGACAACACAAAATGAAAGAAAAAATTCCAAAATCAAGGGTACTTCAAGGGACAGTGGTGAGTGGTCACTGTTAAAATGCAGCATCAGAGACAAAGGGGAAACCCAGAAAGACAAAGTTTTGCATATGTCTATTTATATACCTTCATCAAATATATATAATCTACATTCAGCATCATTCCTAAAACCAAATAATTGCAGGGGCACCGCAGAGAGAACAGTTCTTGTTGCGGCACAAAACCCCTCATGCTTTGAGGGGCAGTGAGGGCAGGGACAGCTGAGCATTGGATACTTTATTAATCAAACAAAATCCTAATTGAAACCTTGATGAGCTGGGTAATTCCCCCAGCCCACCTGATGCTTGTCCTCTGCCCAAACCAAGCGATTGTCTCCTTCCCTGGTCCCCCACACTGATGGATCTCACCCCACCCAATTCTAATATTCAACCAATTCTAAATGCAGGCTGCATTTATAGTAGGATTTGTGGCACAGGGAGTTTGAAACTCTGCTGAACTCTTCATCCCTTCTATCCAGAGCAAGGAAACAAACCCATCATCCTCACCCAGCTTCTAACTCATATTTTCTTCCCTGGTTGAGGACAGCCCACATGCACCCTCTGGTTCTGCCGGGGATAGCTCAGAGAAACACTGACAACCACACCACGTCTGGGGAATTACCTTGGCTGCATCAGCACCCAAGGCAGAACCTTTGAGCCTCGTGCTCGACAGGCAGGATTGTCAGCTGCACTCCAGGAGTGGGTGAAGGAGGAGCAGGAGGCTCTCAGTGTGAGGTTCCAGCAGAGAGAGGTTCACTGCTGAAAGGAGTCAGGGACCAAACAGCCCTCAGGGCTGCTGTGCTCAGGATTTTATACACAGAGCTTCAGGGGCGGGTACAAATGTTTGACCAATCAGGGATAAACAGGGGAGGAGCACAAGGCACTGCAAGAACCAATGAGGATAAGGGGGCAGAGAGAACAGGTCACATGGGCCAATGGAGTGTTGAGATTCAGGAGATTGACAGAGGGGGAGGTGCAGTGAGGGGCTGGCCTAGTACAGGAGTGACAGGGAAGGTTCTGGAACAAAGGGCGGGGTTTACAATGATGGGCATGTCATAGGAGGGGATAGCATTCAGGAATAAACCAACATTGGAGGAAGGGGGGTAACATAGGAACAAACCATTAACAATAAAATGTGAACAGAAATCCACAAACTAATCAAACAAACACACGCCGCAGCACACCCTCAGCTTCTGGCACTTTTGCACAACGTTTTTTGGGCTTTGTACCTCTGAGGGACTCCAGGAATCAGGGGCTCGGCCCTACACTCATGGCCACGGCTTTCTTTTATGAGGATTTGAGTCTCAGCTGAGGAAAGGGGAATTTTTACTTCCCCAGTGAGCAATAGGTTGTCACTCAATGTCTGCCCTACAGTCAGGCCCCAGGTGGATGTGCTTCCTCTGCAATCACTGCTGAAATGCTGGGACTTACAAGCCGTTAAAGGCAGTTGATTTTGGGAAAAGAAACATCAGCCCAGGCACTGCCCTGCTGTTCCCTTGCTGAGTCCTCTCATTCCTCTGTACCCACTGGTGTCTCGCCCACGCTTTATTCCACATTAAATATCTGGACTGTAAATTTTTGCAGGTCAGAAAAGGGAGCCTCCATTTCACTTGGTTCCTCTCAGGACTGAGCATCCTTCAAAGTCCACCTGCAATTTCCCCACAACCACATTTTCACAATATTTGGAATAAAAAAAAAAACAAAACAACAAAATAACATATGCATATTCATCATCATCCTGGCCAGAACAAGTAGATTATTTTATTTTTAAGAACTAACTTCCAGCATTTCTAGTGCAGGATTTCTGCATTTGCATTTTTATTAAAACCTTATCAGGTCTAATGCTTCGATTCGTCATGGTACAATTACATAAAACTGGAGATTAGGCAGAGTCTCACACGTCCTGGGTTTTAGGTGTTTTATCGTGCCCTTGTAGTGATGGCATTTATCAAGTCAACACAACTGCTCTTCTCTACCATCACATGTACTAATGGTTCCTTTGCTCCTTTACCTGTTTCCTTTGGCTTTTCCATGGATGCTTCCTTGACAAAATGCCTCTCATTAATGTCAGAGGGACCATTAGAAAATCAGCCATGTGCTTTGCAGGTCTGGCTGGAATAGACCCCAGGTTGAAGTGAACTCAAATAGAAAACATCCAGATAAAGCACCAAAGGAATCCCTCTCAGCCTTTAATCCCAGCAATTTCAAATATAGAAGCAGCAGGTGTATAATTCATGGAGGCTCTCACCACAAGGGCAAAGGATATTGCCCTGCAAAATCCAGAGCTCTCATTCAGCATCCTGAATCATCTCAGCTTAGTCAAACATCCCTTTTCTGGGGAGGGGTGGAGGGGGGAAATAAAAAAACCTCTGTGCTGCTCTTTACTTTGTGGAAACAAAAGGCTGTATCTGTAATGCTCTCTTGGAGGAGGGAGCTGGCAGCTTAAATTCATCCATTAACCAGGATCCTGAGCCAGAGCATTGAAATTGTCACTGCTTTCTGTTAAATGCATTTCAGCCTTGCTTGTCAGATTCTAAATTAAAAGCCCTTTAATTTAAACACGACGCAGGCAGTACCTAAGCTGAGTTCTCTCCAAAGCCTCAGTAAATTTGAAGGGTTATTTCAGCCTTCATAGAACCTCCCATCACTTTTGTCCTCTCTCAAGGTGCTATCAGTGAAGAAATGCAGGGAAAGCAGGCTCAGCACTGCAATGTCAAGCTTTTATTTTAAATTTTAATGTAATTTTTAATCCTCTGCCACCTTTGGGCCAGCACAGAGCAGGACTGGGAGAGCTGGAAAGGGACAGGGGAGGCAGAGCTCTGGCTGCCATCCCATCATATGCAGGCAGACCCTGAGTCCCATTGTAACACACATGGAAAAAATCAGAAGTAAAAATTAATATTAACAGGTGGCCTTGATGGTTTTAAAGGCCTTTTCTGGGCTAAATGGCGCTATGATAAAAATGTCCCAGTCTCATTGAGAAGCTGTGGCTGCCCCATCCCTGGAAGTGTCCAAGGGAAGGTTGGACAGGGCTTGGAGCAGCCTGGGATAGTGGGAGCTGTCCCTACTCATGGCAGGGGTGGCACTGGGTGGGCTTTAAGGTCCCTTCCCAGCGACCATTCCAGGATTCTCTGACTCACATGTCAATAAAAATATGTCAGTATTTTTTCCATAGAAAGTGATCCTCATATTCAAGGCACATGACTGTGGTTTTCAGCAATAAATGATCAAAAGAGAAACTTAGGACCTGAGGAGATCCTTTTCTTGAACTCAAAACAATCCCAAACCAAGTACAATAGCCAAAAGTCTCAGCTCCCTGGGAAGTCAATGGGAAAGTTTGAACCAAAATTGTTCAGGGCTGAGCTGAGTGGGCCCAATTTCCCTTTCAGCCTAATGTGACTCCATTAAAGTGAGATGAGTGATTCCCTGGTGGATGAGGAGCTTTCTGCATCCGAGGCCTTCCTGAATTGTCAGAAGGTGATAAAATAAGGGATGGCATTGTATGGTCTTGTACTGGAGCTTTCCTGGCCTGCTCCTGGTTCAGAGAGCAAAGATCCACATTTCCAGCAGGTGGAAATTGCTTAAAAGACTAAATATTTCAAAGTGGGCTTGTGAAGGTAGAGGCATTGTCTTTATTCCTGAATTCTCTGGGGAAGGAGACACCTCTCACCTGAGCTTTTATCTGAGCTCAATGAAAGGATGAAGTGGAGGGGAAAAAAGCAGGAATGTGCCTGTAAATTTTTAAGTGTTCTTTCCTTCCTTCAGTGAAGTGTATTACAGACCTGGAGCAGAGTCACAGAGCAGCAGTAAAATGCCAAAGAAGCCACCTCCTCTCCTTCCTCAGTGTCAGCTCTGAAAGCACCTCTTGATTCCATGCAGAGGACTGGGGATGGAGAAAAGATGCAAATTGGTCCAGGGCTGGCAAAGAGCTGCCAGCTGATGGGGTTTGGAATGATCCAGGGTGACATCTCCTCTCTCTCCCCATTCCAGCTCCAAGCACGCTGCTATTGTCCTTTATTAACCTGGGATTAATCCACGTTCCCCTGAACTTCATTTGGAAACCTTCTTCCCTAATTCCCACAACCAACCCAGCCCTCCACAAAAACATCTACAAATGCTGTTGCACCCCAAAAAATCACAAAAAACCAACGAGGCAGAGGCAGGCCAGTGGTGCTTGGAAATGAACAGTTGGGAAAAACCTCTCTTGGAATAAAAAAATGCTCAGCAGCAAAGCCAGTTTCCAGCAGCATGGGACAAAAGAGGCTTAGCAGGCCGAGCATTACACTCCAAACCCCAGAAGAGCTGGTCAAATAATGGAAAAATGTATGCAAGTCTGAAGTCATTTGGTGCTAGATGGGGAAGGATTAAGCCCTGCTGAATAAGTTATCCTCTGCAGAATGGATTTCAGCCTGGCCACACTGCCTGACAAATAATGGGTGGATTAATTGGCTAAAGCTTGCACATTGTATTGTTCCCCAGTTTGTCAAACACCCCTGGAGCACACACAAAAAAAGTCTCTTTTGTTGTTGTTGTTGAAACAAAAGTTTGCTGAAAATTCCCCCCCCACACACACACACTCAGGAACCTTTATCTTTACAAATGAACACAATAAAACTAATCTGCATCAGGGTCTAAAATGGATTTATTAAACTGTATTAAATCCCCAGAAAGCTATTTGTTCAGTGCACTTTAATATCCTTCAGAAATAGAAGGTGACAAGTTGACCTAAGGCTACTCTGAATCTGGATGAGAATTAAAAATGTGCTTTAATTAAAAGTTCCAAAATAAACATTTCTGCTTTCCGACTTTCTGAAAACATTCACCCATTTTTCCACTCTGACCAGATTTTTGTCACTGTCAACATGTTCAGATACCTGAAGTGAATTTCCATAGCAGAGGCCTGAGGAGGAAACAATTTGCTTGGGGGGAAAAAAGCAAACCCTGGCTATGAAGCCAGCATAGGAAATAGGAAAAAGCTGGAGAATGATTGATCCTCTCATCACATGGAGCTGCCATAAGCAGCTGTCAAGATTTTTATGTAACTTTCCTTGAAAAGCTTGTATTTAAATGAGCAAGAAGGTAAAAGCAGAGAGAACAGAAGGCAAATTCCCTTAATTTTACAGAAGGAGCCACAGCTGAGATCCTCATCTAGCCCTGATCTCTTCCACTTGCCCCCATTATCTCCTGTGCCAGCCTCAGTAGCCAGGGAGACACAACTGCTGGGATGGTGGGCAGAATAAATTAAACAATTTTTCAAAACCAGCACCGGGTTAATAAAAACCTTTTCTTGTGGCAGCATTATTTTTAATCTTCATCTTTAATCTTAGTATTGCATCTATCAGCCAAACCACAGCTCTTGAACTGCCACCTGATAAGGCAGAATTTCAGCCTTCCCTGATGCTCCCAAACCAGAGATTTCCTACACATTTTATAAGGAATGTTCACTGCCTGACAGTGAGCCCTCATTGGAAGGTAATTTAATCAATAGTCAGGTCTCTAGCAGCCTCTATAGCAAGTTATAGATGGCATTTAATAGAAATGCAAAGCAGAAATAGCTTTAACACCAGTTGGTATTTAAAACCACATAATAAATTCACTGCTACTCTGTTCCATATCAATTAATAACACTAAACATCTTTAATGTATTAAAAAAGATGTCTTTCAGATATTAAAATTCACTTCAATTAAAATAGCAACGAGGTTTTAAACATCCACTATTTTAAAATTCACCTGATCTTTCCAGTCATTTCAAAAGGCCCTTTAACTAACACATAACTGCCTCATAAAATTTAAATTGGAGGTGAAATTAAGCCAGGCACTTAACGAATATTGCTGCAGCATGTTTGACTCCAGGTGAGCAGAGAACACAACAGGCAGAGCCAGCAGCAGCCCCAGCCCAGCTGAATTAACCCAAGAGCCACTTGAGGAGCTCGATTATTTTCTGAGCTGCACTTGAAGCAGCTCCCTGCACAAATGGAAATGGAGACAACCACT